CCACGGCCACGCCTTGTCCTCACGCGCGGAGGAGGAGGACTCCCTTTCATTCCGGCTCGTCCTCTGCCATCCGTTTAAGTCCTTCCTTCTCCACTTCTCCACCGGCTGCCAAACCTCCCCTCCCAACCGGCTCTATTTGAACTGGCCACCTGCCCAGTCCTCGCGGCCTCCCCCCCACCCCCCAGCGCTGGGCCCCTCGCTGTGGCTTTGCTCTGGAGAAACTTGGACCGGCTGCCGCCCGTCCCCCCATTTAACCGTCTTCCGTCACGGGGAGCAGCTCTCATGTCGCTCTGCTGAGATGTGCTGCCCGCGCTGGGGGCGGGGGCGGGTTGGCACGAGGCGGTGGACGTTGGCTACGCTTGACTGTGGGTTGGCGCTGGTTACACACCCCGTTTGTCACGCGGGGGGCTGTGGCGGGAGGGGGGAAAGGACACGAACTATTTCCAAGGCGACATCAAAGCCACTTTCCGGGGTGTCAGCCTCGACCCCGTTTCACATGAGCAGAACACAAACGCCAATAAAAGTAACAATGCCCGGGGGCTCCACCAGCCAGGGCGCCGGCTACGCGGCCAGTTTTACGAACGTCGCCGAACGCGAACATTCCGGGATTTACTTTCCTCGCGCAGAACCTCCCGCCTGCCCACCGGCCGGCTGTTGACTCCAAACCGCTGGGTCGGGGGGAGCACACGCTCAGCCCCGCGATGCCAAGCTGCAAACCAGAGCCCGTTTTATGGGGGAATAAAACCCCCGCAAAGCAGGCTCGCGGGGGCCGGCCGACGGCAGGTTTACGAGCGCAGCACCATCGACGCCATTATAATTAGTTCCCCCCGAAAGTCTCATTTTTTAGGGCCGAGATCTGAGCCTTTCTCTCTGCACGTGAATATCTCCGGACCAGAGCAACAACATCATGGAGGGTGAGTCACAGGCCAGCCTGGGCTTGAAAGAGAACGCAGATCCTATAAATCTAACCCACATTCTTTTACTGGGAATGACTGACTTTTATGAAAACCAAGGACTGTAAATCAGAAACCTAAATAGCTTGCTTTGCAGCAGATAAACACAGATTTATGTGGTGGCGGAGCCCCAACCTGACCCTCTCAGGGGGCCACAGAGGGCCCTGAGGGAGGGGGTGTGCTGTGGGGTGCTTACATCAGCATGGGCATTTCGTCCTCAAAGCCAGGGTGGGGAGGAGGCGTGCCCCAGGTCTAGCTCAGCCGGCAGAGGTGGGGGCACGAGGAGCGTGTCTTTCTGTGGCCAAGCACGTGCTCCACCTCGGTGGGGTGCACCCCGAACCCCCAGGCTCTGCGTTACTCCAAAGGCCAGTCCCCACTCCGTGGGCACACACACGAGCTAATCGAGGAGGGTTTCTGTGCAGGGGCTTATGGGTGAGACTGCACCTGGGCTGCGAATCCCTGCAGGTGTGACCTCTTCTAAGGCCACCCCCCCCCACCTCAGCCTGCTCATCTGCAAAAGGACGCATCTACCTGGCATGTTGCAAAGATTAAACAGGACAATTACCTGAGGTGCTCAGAACAAGGGTGCGGCTCATGATGCCACTGGACACATGTTACCGGGGGTTGTTACACTGTCACCGGGGGTTGTTACACTGTCACTGGGGGTTGTTACACTGTTACCGGGGGTTGTTACACTGTTACTGGGGGTTGTTACACTGTCACCGGGGGTTGTTACACTGACCTGGGGTTGTTACACTGTTACTGGGGGTTGTTACACTGTCACTGGGGGTTGTTACACTGTTACCGGGGGTTGTTACACTGTTACTGGGGGTTGTTACACTGTCACTGGGGGTTGTTACACTGTTACTGGGGGTTGTTACACTGTTACTGGGGGTTGTTACACTGTCACTGGGGGTTGTTACACTGACCTGGGGTTGTTACACTGTTACTGGGGGTTGTTACACTGTCACTGGGGTTGTTACACTGTTACTGGGGGTTGTTACACTGTTACTGGGGGTTGTTACACTGTTACCGGGGGTTGTTACACTGTCACCGGGGGTTGTTACACTGTTACCGGGGGTTGTTACACTGTTACTGGGGGTTGTTACACTGTCACTGGGGGTTGTTACACTGTTACCGGGGGTTGTTACACTGTTACTGGGGTTGTTACACTGTCACTGGGGGTTGTTACACTGTTTACCGGGGGTTGTTACACTGTTACTGGGGGTTGTTACACTGTCACTGGGGGTTGTTACACTGTTACTGGGGGTTGTTACACTGTCACCGGGGATTGTTACACTGTTACTGGGGGTTGTTACATTGTTACCAGGGGTTGTTACACTGTTACTGGGGATTGTTACACTGTTACTGGGGGTTGTTACACTGTCACCGGGGATTGTTACACTGTTACCAGGGGTTGTTACACTGTCACCGGGGGTTGTTACACTGACCGGGGGTTGTTATACTGTCACCGGGGGGGTTGTTACCCTGTCACTGGGGGTTGTTACACTGTCACCGGGGGGAGGTTGTTACACTGTTACTGGCGATTGTTACACTGTCACCGGGGATTGTTACATTGTTACCAGGGGTTGTTACATTGTTACCAGAGCCGCTGGGCACGTGACCAGGCTCCTCAACTGCAATGTGCACACTGGTTGCTGGGGAAGCCAGTTAAGCTCGGATCCCCTGCACCTGAGAGTCCAGCGCTAACACCTCGCAGGTGATGTGGAGGCTGCTGGTCCCTGAGCGACCCCACCCCACCTGTGAGTGGTGTGGGCGCAGAATTCGGGATTGACCTACCCTGCCTACCTCCCTCTCATTCAGTTCTCATTCCAACGTGTGGCCACGGCCACGGACCCAGCGCTCTGCCTGTGGCTGGTATTTACAGCCATCAAGGTGACCCCGAGCAAGGACACGGGTCTCCAGTCCTCTCCTGCCCTGAGATGATGGCTGCCCAGGTCCGGTCCTGGGTCCTGGGTCCCACCTCCAGCCCTGCCGCCCGCCAGCCCCTGCCTCGTGCTGTGTTTCAGCAGGACCCACCCTGGGTCCCGACCCCGACTTTAAAGGGACCAGGGCCCGGGGTGGGGAGGACGGGGCTCCGTCGGCTTTGTTCCCTGCAGGAGGCCGCCTGCACCCGAGACAGAGGCGGGCGGGTTAATGGAGAACTGGGGCTTAATCATTAAGGCTCAGCACGGAGGGTGTGTGTGTGCGGGGGGGGGGGGGGCTCCGGCTCAGCCTGTGTGTGTGTGTGGGGGGGGGGGTCCGATCGGTGTCAGGGCTCCCTGGGGCCTGGGGTTGGGGCCTTGGCCCATCCTTGCAGGTGAGGCTTTTGCTGAAGCTGAGGGTGGGGGAGGGGGGCGGATAGTCCTCTCTGTGCGAAACCCGGAACCTGGGGAGATGGGGGCACCCAGACGGAGCCAGACTGGGGAGCCGGTTCCTTCCACAGGCTCTGCCCCGGGAGGTGCGGGCCTGTGGGCTCACTTCCCAGGCCAGACCCGCGACCATGCGAGGGAGCACCGAGCCATCCAGCGGCCGGGGGGCGGCCCCTGCACAGGTAAGGCTCCACAGGCAGCTGCACGCCTGTCCCCCACCCCCGGGCTCTCCCCAGCCCCCCCCTCGGCTCTAACCCCTGCTGGCCCCCCTCCCCCTGCCCCCCACCTGCCCACCGCCTCCCCTTCCCACACTCAGCCCTTATCTCACTTTAATCATTTACCTGGAGCGGGAACAGGCCTCCCTCAGTGCTTCCCCAAGTGCTGGGCGGCCCTGGAGCCCCCGTGAGAGTCTTTGCCTCCCGTCCTCCTCTCCCGGGGGAGGGGCCGGCCGGACCGCACCTGCTGCAGCTCTTCTGAGGGAGGGAGCGGCCCCTCCCCCGGCTCCTCCTGGGAAGTAAAGAGCCCCCTGGAGGGGGGGGGTCCCGGGGTTCCATTTACTTTTCCTTCTCTAACAATCACGCTCAGCTCCACACGGGGAGCTAAAGGGGTGAATGATCACCCCCGTCCCCCATCCCTACCCCCCCCCCCCCCACACACACACAGCAAACGCCTGGGAAACCACAGCCAGGTCGAGACAGAACTGTTGATTCTGATTCAGAAAACGGGGTTTCCTGGGCTCCCGGAAGCCCCTCTGCTGCCCTTTCCAGTCGCTGCCCCCCCCCGCCAACCCCCCCCCCCACCGGAAGGGTGACCACATCTCACACCATCCATCCGACCTGCTGTTTGCACATCAGCCCCACAAACCGGTCCCAGCTGCTTTCGCTCAGCATTTGGGACGTTCACCCCTCCCGCCTGCTCCCCCCACCCCCACCCCCACCCCCGTCCGTGTCCGAGATGGTTCTTTCTCGTTGCTGCTGGGCATCCATTGTGTTTGTTTATTTTTTAAAATATATTTTTATTGGTTTCAGAGAGGAAGGGAGAGCGAGAGAAACGTCAATGGTGAGAGAGAACCATGGATCGCCGCCTCCTGCACGCCCCCCACTGGGGATGGAGTCTGCAACCCGGGCTGTGCCCTGACCAGGAATCAAACCCTTCAGTCCACAGGTTGACACTCTACCCACTGAGCCGCACCAGCCAGGGCTGTCGTGTTCATTGTTATGGAGACTCTCCATGCAAAACACACGGATCCTGTGGGTTCTGAGAACCAGTAAAGACTAAGATAACAGCCTGCATTACAGATGAAACAGCAGCACTGGTGGGACTCATGTGGCAAAAGCCGTGGAGATGGGCGTGAATCACAAAGCATTTCAGATCTGTCCTTCAGGGCGATGGCGTTCGGACCCGCACCCCTGCCCGGGGGAGGGGGGGCCAGAGGGAGCGGATAAACCCAGCCAGGCACTCGATCCTTGACCGTCCTGCTCCATCCTCAGCCATCTCGCTCCATCCTCAGCCGTCTCTCTCCATCCTCGGCCGTCTCTCTCCATCCTCGGCCGTCTCTCTCCATCCTCGGCTGTCTCTCTCCATCCTCGGCTGTCTCTCTCCATCCTCAGCTGTCTCTCTCCATCCTCGGCTGTCTCTCTCCATCCTCGGCTGTCTCTCTCCATCCTCGGCTGTCTCTCTCCATCCTCAGCTGTCTCTCTCCATCCTCGGCAGTCTTTCTCCATCCTCAGCCATCTCGCTCCATCCTCAGCTGTCTCTCTCCATCCTCGGCAGTCTTTCTCCATCCTCAGCCATCTCGCTCCATCCTCGGCCGTCTCTCTCCATCCTCGGCCGTCTCTCTCCATCCTCGGCCGTCTTTCTCCATCCTCAGCCATCTCGCTCCATCCTCGGCCGTCTCTCTCCATCCTCGGCCGTCTCTCTCCATCCTCGGCCGTCTCGCTCCATCCTCGGCCGTCTCTCTCCATCCTCGGCCGTCTTTCTCCATCCTCAGCCATCTCGCTCCATCCTCGGCCGTCTCGCGGGCCAGGCCCGTGGTGGCACGTCCCACCCAGCACTCCCTGGGGCACCTCAGCAGGACACAGGAGCCCAGGAAGAACATGTGTGGGCTCCGGGACCCCTGCCAGGGCCCCAGGGGGTAGTAATGGGCTGAGCGGCCGGGAGGCCCAGGACACACTGCGCCCTGCCCGCCTCCCGGAGCAGAGAGACCCAGGCAGTTCGGGGCTCACAGGCCTCAGGCTCGGAGCTGGACGGATCTGGCTGAAACCACGTGCCCCAGGGCCCCACGGAGGGGAGGGCGCCTCCTGGAAATAGCACCTGGCAGGCCAGGCGGGATCCCCAGGGGCTGGGAGCTGCGCCCAGGCCTGAGGCTCCCTTTGGCATAGACTCCACTTCTCTCCAGGGACGAGGAGCCGCGTTGTCCGTCTGGACGGACCATGGGGTTTTCACCAGATGAAGGACTATAACTGTGGGTTGTTTCCAGTTTGGGGCGATGACCAATGAGGCTGCTCTCACTTTGTCCTGGATGGAGTGTGGACGTAGGTGGCACTTAATTTGGGCGAAGACCAAGGAGCAGAACGGGCGGGTCACACGCAAGTATTTAACTTAAGAAACTGGCCGCATGAGAAGCCCAGCGGCTTGGCGTCCTTGCCAGCACTGGGCTGTGTCCGCTTTCCTTAGCCGTTTGTGTCTGGATCGGCGAGCCCGGTCTTCAGCTGGCGGTTAGGGTGGCGTGTTCGGTGCTGGTGCTGCCATAACAGCGGGCGGGCTGGGGCGTGGCCAGTGGAGCTGTATCTCCTCCCAGGCCAGGAGGCTGGGTCTGCGATCCAGGCGTCTGCAGGGCTGACTTCTCTGAGGCCAGCTGCCTGGGGAGGACGGCCGCCCTGTCCGTGTCCGCACACGCGCTCTCCTCTCTCTGCTCTCATTTCCGAGTCCCCCCGTGTCCAGACGTCCTCTTCTCACAGGGACACCAGTCCTTGGACCAGGGCCCCCCTCAAATACCTGGTTTTAGGGTAATCACCTCCTTCAGGGCCTTACCTTAGGATGCGGTTGAACAATCGAGCACTGAGGGTGAGGAGTTGGAGGGGGACCCCATTCAGCCCATCACAGGCCACACGGACACGCCTCAGCCCAGCACTCAGACCAGAACCACAGGGAGCAAGTGGCCTCTGTGGGGGGGCGGGGGGAGAGGGTCCCTTCAGTCCGCATGGCCCCGTGGGACCAGCTGCTGGAGGCGCCTTCCACTGGGAATGGGGGGAAGCTCAGGCTGTAGACTCGGGGCCCAGCCCTGCCGTTTCCTGGCCGACGACCTTGAGGGGTCACCTGTCCTCTAAGCCGCACGTCCACGTCCGCACCAGATGGAGACGGTGACGGTCGCACAGCGGAGGGTGAGGAGGTCGGAGGGCAGTTCACGTGAGCCGCTCCTCCAGCCGATATGCCCGACGGCAACGTCCTTCCTTCTTTTCCTGATTCACTTTAGCTTCTCGTCAGCTGAGCTGTAGGGGAGCGGCTGGCACTGCCCTGGGCCTGGGGTTGTGTTAAGGCCCAAGACTTAATAAACGTCAGCGGCTGGATTGAAAGATTCTCGGTGAAACCGGCTGCGAGACGCGGATGTGCCTGTGGGTTTGTACGGGATCAGCCCCGTCAGCTGCCGGAGGGACTGTTTGCCAAAGTCCCAGGGGTCTCCCCCGCCGGCCCCGTCCGCAGGCCCCCGTCCGGCCCTGCGCCTGCGTTTCTCAAGGAAACAAGGAGCCAGGCCACCGGGGCACGAGGGGCCAGGCTTCCCCGGCGCTGATGACCCTTCGGATGAGCTGTTCTCTCTTCTCTCCACAGACACTCCCTGAAGGCAGGGCCGGGCCCTTATTCTTGTGTGACTGACGGCGCCACTGGAGGGCGCACAGCGCACCGGGCTCCAAAGGCCGGCAGGTCCTTGTCCTCCGGAGAGGAGACGCGTGACGGAGCGGGTCCCGGGGACGGGGACCCAGCAGCCGGGCAGGGAGCGTCCGAGGCCGGAGACCAGCTCCTTGGTGAGCTGGGCTGACTTGGGGCCTCGCTGGAGAGCAGACGGGGCCCTCTGTGAGGCCAGACCTGAATCTCCTGGACCTCAGGTTCCACACGGAAGCCTGAGCGTGTGTGTGTGTGTGTGTGTGTGTGTGTGACTGTGTGACTGTGCGTGTGCATGTGTGTGGGTGTGTGAGTGTATGTGTGTGTGTGACTGTGAGTGTGTGTGACTGTGTGACTGCATGTGAGTGTATGTGTGTGCATGAGTGTGTCTGTGTGTGAATGTGAGTGCATGTGTATGTGCATGAGTGTGTGTATGAGTGTATGTGTGTGAGTGTGAGTATGTGTGTGAGTGTGTGTGTGTGTGTGTGTGTGTGTGTGTGACTGTGTGACTGTGCGTGTGCATGTGTGTGGGTGTGTGAGTGTATGTGTGTGTGTGACTGTGAGTGTGTGTGACTGTGTGACTGTGCATGTGAGTGTATGTGTGTGAATGTGAGTGCATGTGTATGTGCATGAGTGTGTGTATGAGTGTATGTGTGTGAGTGTGAGTATGTGTGAGTGTGTGTGTGTGTGTGTGTGAGTGTGACTGTGTGAGTGTGTGCATGAGAGTGTGTCGGGGGACGTGGTCTGAGAAGGGGACACGGCCTTTGGAACCAGGACTGACCCAGAGGATTTGCTGGGGCAGGTCCCGGCCTCCCTGCGGCTCTGGAGCCGCTGCCCCTCTGGTGGGTGGATTCCCACCTGGCCCTGCCCTCCGGCCCCTCCTCCATCCCTGCCTCATCCACGCATCCACGCAGCCTCTGCTTGGTTCCCATTCTCCAGGGGACAGCGTGGGTTCTGGCTTCTCCACACGCCGAGTCCAGATCACGGCACTGAGCTGGCTGCCAGGGCTCCTCTGAGGCGGAGGACGGAGAGCAGGTGTCACCCCAGGACCAGGTGCGCTGCCTCCTGTGGAGCCTCCGGAGGGTCCGAGGCTGGACAACGACCTCCAAGCCCAGGAATGAGGCGCAAAGGCCCCGGGGACCGAGCTGGGGGTCTGGGCACTGCACTCCCGGACGCGCTGAGCGACGCGGAGGCAAACCTTCCAAAGGGCTGAACGCTGGAAACTGCCTGGAAAGGCGGTGGGAGAGCCAGAGTGTGGTGGAGGCGGCGGGGCTGGGCCCGCACACACCGAGCTCCGACCAGGAGCTCACGTCCGGACCTCACGCCGCCCTGCAGGGAACGCCCGACCAGCCCTTTCACCGGGGGAAACTGAGGCACAGGGAGGTTAGGAAGCACACCCACGTTTTCAGGGGCTTAAGGAAGGACCCGGAACTGGAGGCCATGTCTGGCTGGTTCCTCAGACTCAGACAAACATCCGTCTGCCAACGACCGGCGGGGAGAGGGCCGACACCTTCATGCAGCGCCGGGCGCAGATGCGAAGTCACAGCAGCATCCCCGTCCAATGAGGGGGAAACGAACCAACGAACAAATGAACGAACGAATGAACAAATGAATGAACGAACGAATGAATGAATGAATGAGAAACAAAACTGCTTTGCGATGTGGGGACCCAGCCTCGGCAGTTCCCCCGACCTCAGGCTGAAACCTCCCTCCGCAGTTTAATCTGAAAGCTGCCCGGCTAAGCTTGCCCGGCTGATAAGGCCCTGGGACTCCCGCGCCCCCTTGATCTGCAACCTGACTCCGAACAGGAAGCCAGAGCTGGGGGGGGCCCAGGAAGGCATGGCGGGATTAGCCATTTAATTCCGTGTCTCCCAAACCTAGAGCTTAAGAGCCACGCCCCGTGCGAGGCCCGAGGGCAACGCAGGACACAGGCAGGTGCCCTGTGAGGCCTGCAGGCTCCTGGGAGCCTGGTGACAGCTGTCATGCAAACAGTGTGTGATCCGGACAGGGAGGGACTGGAGCCCGGCCTCATGGCCACCCCCTGAGAGAGCCCGAGACCAGGCTCCATGCAGACCCCGAGAGACAGGCCAGCCGCACGGCCACCCCCGGGGCCTTTCCGCAGGACCCAGCGGTCAGAAGGCTCCGCCCGGCCCTGTGTGTGGAGGACGCATCCCTTCCTGCCACAACCAGCCGGCGGGAAGAGTCTCAGCTCTCCTGTTCCACAAGCCCCCGCCCGCGGCTCCCCTCGGCCTCGCGGTGCCTGCTCCCAGCCTGGCCTCAGCTTTGCCTCCAGGAGCCGCGGCCCAGCCTGCCTTTCCCAGGCCCTGCCTGCCTCCCCTCACGGCTGGCGATGCCCGCGCTGACACCCTCACACCCACCTGCTGTGGCTCCAACTTTTCAAGGACTTTTGGGAGCTGGCTGTGGAAACCGTATTCGAGACGATGTTCCATATGCAGTTAATAGTCTAGTCCAAGGTGACGCAGACTCGAACGCCCTCCTTAGCGGGTTCCCGTGTCGTCGGAGCTCACACACGTCACAGCCGCCGGTGGGAACACACGCAGCGTCTCCTTCTCGCCGGGTGTTCGTGACCCACCTTGGGGGCCTGCGATGGCCGTGATCAAAATCCATAAACACACACGTAAAAAAAGACCCAAGTGGAAGGCCTGTGAGAAGTGCCGGGCACACGGAGCTTGGCGGGTCCCCTCTGGCTCCTGTCACACGAGATGACACATTAACCACCAGAGGGGAGCGGCCACACACGCGTGTTCGGCAGGTGCGACTATCATCACCGTATTTTCTGTCCCACGTTAGAGCTCCATGAGCCTCCTGCTCCCAGAACAGCCATTCGCCCTGGGAATTCCACGTCCCCCCGTCCGCCCAGGACACGGCGGCAACTCCGGGCCCCTGGACGCGCTCGGGGCCCTGCCTGCCCTCCTCGGGCGGGGACACGGGCTCCACACAGTTGGAAACAGCCATCGACACTGCGGTGGATAAGCTACTCCTGGTCTTCAAGCACTTCCTTTGGTTCAGCCACAGAACCCTCGATTCTAGTAACACCCCCAAGACACAGAACAGATTTTCCATCAGCAGCTGCAGGTGGGGGGCAGCTAGAACCTGCCCCTCACGCCAAGCGGGGCGTCCTGCTGTCAGCAGGGCCTTCTGCGGAGCCGTGGCTGCTGGGGACTGAGCGCGACTCCACCTCCACCTGGGACTGTTTAGGGCTCGGGGAGGCCTCCGGGGGAGGCTCCCGTCTTGTTCCAAATGGGCCTCGTTTGAGGAGGGGCCATCGTTTCCCGGGGAGGCAGCGTTGGGGTTCCCTGAGGAGCCCTGAAATGTCGCTGACATCACCGTCCTGGGTCCCACAGGGCAGCTCAGCCAGCATTTCCCAAGGTCCCCGTTGGAGGGACTCCTCCGGGCAAGACCTGGCGGTGGGCACAGCCCCCGGGGCCAGCCTGGCTCTCCTCTGGCCACACAAGCTCCCTGCGCTCGTGCCAGGCACAGACCCTGCTGCACAGATGCCTGCGTGTCCTGCTCCGTGTCTCGTTCCACAGCCGTTGTCTTCCCTCAGCGAGTGTCTGCGAGCGCAGTGGGCACGTGTGGGCAGACGGCCCGCGGGCCGCCCGGCGGGAGCCCGGGGTCCCCGCAGCCCTCTGAGCCCCAGGACCCGCGGGGCAGCACCGCATTCAAAGAACCAGAGCCTTTAGGCCAAAAAGGTAATAAAAGGGATTTTAGGGGGAATTCTGGCAGCTGGGGACGTCCCTGTTCAGAGCTGGCAGCCACCATGTCTCCCGCTGGCTAGTCTCTCACCAGCCCCCGGGCCCCAACCAGGTCTCGGGCGCCCCTCTTTCCACTGCTTCCTGCCCTGACTGGACGGGGTGACAGGTCAGCTGGGTGGGGAGGAGGTGGGGGTGGGAAATCTGAACCCCCTTCGTCTGCGTCACCTGGTCTGAGCTGGGCTGTGTTCTGAACGACATTCCGTTATTGTCTGATTTTGTGCAAAGTGCAGACAGGTCATCAGCCTGATGGCGTGGCCAGGCGGAGCCCGCGGGCCCTTCTCAGTTCTGTTACTTTACACGGTTCCAGAGCCCACGTGGCAAAGCCAGTGTGAGTCGGCGCCGACCACAGAGGGACGTGGCCACTCTTCCTCTCGGGATCGCGGAGACGCCGTGTGCACCTACCTCTGTTCCCGCACGACTGACCTACCGAAACCAAGGTTATATGAAGTAGAGGAAGTTACTCTAAAAACCAAGGAGAGAGCGGGGGGCGGGCGGGCTAGAAGGGGTCCGTGGGGAAAAGGGGATCTGTAGTACTTTCAACAATAAAGACTTTAAAAATCGGATGCGAGGCAGACGCCAGATAGTAAATTACAAGCTCCTCCCTCCGCTCTGATATCAGGAAATCGGGGAAACTGACTGGAGGAGGAAACACGGCCTGAGTTTATTAAAGACGGACCCGCCTGGTGAGGGAAGTTCCCAGAAAACAACTCAATGGAAAAGGAAACCCTGCGAGCCAGTCCCCAGACCGCACGTCCCCGCGTGACAATCGGCCCTCGTTCACTTTAAACCGAGACGGGGCCGCACTGGGGACCCAAGGGGGCTGGCAAGTGAGGCCCTGCCTTCAGGGGGCACCCGCTCTGGCTGGGTCACGGTCAGAGCCGAGCCGATGCTGACCGGACGGCGCCCTGGTGGTCCAGGAAGGGGCTGGTCAGGAAGCCTGCATCACCAAGGCCCAGAGCAAGGGGGCCAGGTCTTCCCGTGGGCGCTGAGGGTCAGGAAGCCGCACGGAGCAGAGAGGACGGGTCCAAGGAGCAGCGCGCACAGCTTGGGGGCGTGTGAGAGTGCGTGTTGGGGCAGCGGATGGTGAGACTCCCGGGAACCTGGGCCAAGGTGAGGATGCACCAGGTGCCCCTGGCGGATGGAGCAGAGGGACCTGCAAGAAAGGTTAAACCAACAAGGCAAACTGGCCTTGATCCATGTAGCAGAGACCCAGTTAGTGGACTGGGCTCAGCCACAGCAGCCGCATGCAGTACGTCCTGGATCTGCTGGCGTCCATAGCCCAAAGCCCCTCTTCCCGGTCATTCACTATCACCATCACTATCACCATCTCCATCATCGACATCATCATCACCATCACCACCACCATCATCAGCGCCATCATCATCACCATCACCATCATCATCACTATCATCAATCATCATCATCACTATTGTCACCATCACCACCACCATCATCATCTCCACCATCAATCATCATCATCATCATCATCTCCATCATCATCACCACCACCACCACCACCACCCCCATCATCAAACGCTGGAGGCTCTCCGAATGGGTCACATTATGAGGGAGCACACGTGACTTTACCCTGAAAAGTCCCTCTACTCATCCTCTGACTGGAAGAAGGTCCTCACTTTCTCTTTAAGCTCCAGCTGGGCCCCTGACTTTGATCTCGTCCCTCCTTTTCCTGGTCACCCCTCCGGCCCAGTCTGCGTCTTAACTCCAGTCCCTGACAGTGAGGCACAGGAATTATCTTTGCGAAACCAAACCAGCCCAACGAGGTGTCTGGCTTAACAAAAAGCCAGTTCTCTCCCAAGCGGAATTCTACTGTCAAATCTTACAGCTGAAACACAAACAATTCTTTTCCTCCTACTTCACAAAGTTAGAATATCTAAAAGGTACATGTTATCAAATCTCCTTTATTGCCCATAGAGCATGTTGTTTTCTATATAGAGTATATCTCTGATCATCATTATATAAAAATTGTCATTATGAATGGAATGTTATTCATTATACTTCCTGTTGTTTTTTTTTAGTGTGAAAGTATTTTTTTTGTATATTTTTTTTGGAATGGAGTATAATGCCATTGTTTCAAATGGTTTTCTTTGTTTATTCGCATGAGTTTTTTCTGGTTCCTAATCATTTTATCTTCAAATAATAAACATTTTGTTTGCCTCTTTCCAGCACTTACCCCTTTTGTTTTGGTTGCTTGTGCTGGCGTGGACAGATGTTATATGTCAGTTATGATAATGACCCACCGACACCAGTGGATTCTGCTTGCTGATATTCTGTTTAGGATTGACAGCCGTCTCCCTGATACGCTTGGCTACAGTGTTTTTCTGGTTCTATCACAGCAATGAGCACATCGAGAAGCACCCCCTTCTCCGAGTTCTGGGACAATCTTCACAATTTCCGTGTCGTCTGCTCTCTGATGGCTTGAGCCCTGCAGGCTGCCTGGGCCTGGCTCCTCTGAGGAATCATCATCCGAGGCTTATTTCAGGATTTCTATGTCTTCTTGAGGTAAAAAATGTCTTATTTCTAAAGTAATTGTCCACATCATCCAAGTTTTAAAATTCATTTCCACAGTCTTACAAAGCACCCCTTTAAAAACGTTCCCCTACAGGGTGGTTACCTGCCTTTCTTTGGTCTAATTTTTGGATCGTTGTATTTCCTGACCCTTTTCCTTCACTAATTACAGTAGGTCATGACTTGCTTTTTTGGTTTTCCACAGCTCTTTCATTCGTTAATGAATTACACTGCGTCTTGGTTTCCTGGTTTAAATTCAGCCTCAAGCTTTTCATCTTTATTTCCTCTGCTGTAGGTCTGACAGCTCTGAGTTGCGCGACGGACTTCACTCCTTCTGATGGGAAATGAGGGAATTTACAGCCGTGAGATTTCCCCTGAGAACAGCGTTCGCTTCAGCTCAGTCATCCCGGCAGCAGCCTTGCTTGCTGGTCTCGCAAAGGGGTGGAGGGGGAGGCCTCGCTGTCCGTCTCTCTCATTTCTCCTGCGTTGCAGCTTGTCCAGAAAACGCAGCTACTCTCCTTCTGCCATTACGACACGCTGATGTCGCCTCTATGGTGGAACGCGGCCTTCACGCCAGCAAGCAATCAACATCTACAGTTATTCCATAAACACTTGGAAATAACATACATTCACCAACGTGACATGTTACGTATGTGGAGAAATATAAGTACATAGAGCACATGACCTCATAGCATCTCATTGGCTCAGTTGGAGTCACATGCCCATCTCTCAACCAATCGGAGTGTCTGGGGAAAATACACTGCACTGATTGGCTTAAGCCTGGGTCCCTTAAGCTCCTGAATCAGGCCGGGCGTCCTGTCCCAGAACCACAGGAGTCACGGCCTCGTATGACACTCGACGCTGCCAACATCGTCCACACCCCACTCCTGGGGCGCAGGATGCTCCTTCTGAAATACCTGTTTCAAGCAGCCTTTAAGAGTAGAAGACATTGCCCTGGCCGGTTTGCTCAGTGGATAGGGCGCCAGCCTGCAGACTGAAGGGTCCAAGGTTCAATTCCCGCCAAGGGCACAGGCCTGGGTTGAGGGCTCGATCCCCAGTGCGGGGCGTGTACAGGAGGCATCCAGTCAATGGTTCTCTCTCATTGATGTTTCTATCTTTCTCTCCCCCTCCCTTCCTCTCTGAAATGAATAAAAATATTTTTTTTAAAAAAGAGTAGAAAATATTTCTATTCCAAGACGACTTGCATATGTTCAAAACATGGAAACGCTGCCTTTTCCTCTATTTCTTCCAGCTCCCGTACCCTCAGGGGGGAGTGATGAGCCCAAGGTCCCCGTGCTGCCTCCATGCTCAGCCTCCTCCCGAACCTCAGAGGGAGGCTGGGCCCGGGGGGAGTTTGAGATGTTCTGACCAACAGGCCGACGCCTGGGCCGAGGCGTGTCAGTCAGGAGTGGTGTGACGCCTCCTCTGGCCGGTGGGCAGCCCGGCCCATCAGTAACGGGTGCCCGCTCCTCTGGCCGGTGGGCAGCCCGGCCCATCAGTAACGGGCGTCCCTCCTCTGGCCGGTGGGCAGCCCGGCCCATCAGTAACGGGCGCCCCCTCCTCTGGCCGGTGGGCAGCCCGGCCCATCAGTAACGGGCGCCCCCTCCTCGGGGCACAGAGCGACATGACGACTGCGACCCCGGATTTACAAGCCAGAATCTCACTTGGATACCATGGGTCGCTGCCAGAGGACCTGGTGGGGAGAGCGCTGAGTTTTGCCTGGATCCTCGCAGGGGCCATCAAAGTCCCTCCCGACTCAGTGAGGCTGTGCACCGGCCGGAGGCACCTGGCTCTCAGGACGCTGCTCTCTGGGCTGTGCCAGATAAGCTCGGACCTCGACGCCGTCCACAGATTCGAGACTCATGGCAACGAATTCCCGCCTCCGGGCCCCAGGCCCAGGCACGTCCCCACGGTACTTCCCACCGTGCGAGGTCGCCTTGTGCGCCGGCAGCAGAGCAAGGGGCCCGGAGCCCGGTCAGGCCTCACGGCCAAACCGCCGGTGAGATGCACGAGGCTCTATCACCGTAACCCCATCTCCATCTCCATGTTCTCCAGCACCGAGTCCACGCGGAGACATTTTTATCGATTTCTTGCCACGGAGCCTTCAAATTATCCTCTTAAAGTTGATGAGAGCCCCACTGCCTCAAAGCACCCCAGTCCCCTGCGTGGGCCACCAAGAGCCCCAATTCAACTTTATAAAGAGAATGAGGGGCCTGGCCAGGGGCTCAGGGGCTGAGCGTGGACCTAGGAACCAGGAGGTCATGGTTCGATTCCCGGTCAGGGCACAGGCCTGGGTTTTGGGCTCGATCCCCCGTAGGGGGCGAGCAGGAGGCAGCTGATCCATGCTTCTCTCTCATCAGTGATGTTTCTCTCTCTCTCTCCCTCTCCCTTCCTCTCTGAAATCAATTAAAACATATTTTTTAAAAAACTTTAAAAACTAAGGAAAAGAAGGGGAGCGAGGGGAGCAGAGAGCAGGAAGGCAGAGCCGCCCGGACGTGCCGTGTCCTGAAACAGCCCGGCCCGCGGCCGCCTCCCGGGCCTGTAAAGTGAGTTTTCACAGGCCGGCCGTGGAGTGCGGCCTTGTGGGGCCACATCTGGAACCACTCGGCGCTGCCTCTGCGGCTTTATGAACAATAAAAGCAACCGCTGATGGTCCTGTGCTGACCCTCGGGCGCAGGCATCCTGGCCGCGCTGCTGACAAGCAGATTCTAATTTCCCTGCTGGTCCAAAGGCAGCAGATGGGCTGAGCACAGAGGCCGAGTGTTCTCCTGAAGCGAGCGCTTGTCTCCGCGGCGATGGTGTAACTGCGGCCACGCAGCTCAGAGTTTCCAACGTCTGTCCGTGCAAACCTCTGGGCTCCCCACACCAAGCACGTCCCGTCTTAAAGAAACAGGCGGGCGCTGAGGACCTCCTGCGTGCGGCTCCGGCCAAGACAGGGAAGAGGCCGCGGAGCTCCGGCCGAGCCCCAGCAGCTCCCTCCTGGGCCCGCCACCGGCACCGCTCCTTTTATTTTTATGGCACGGGAGAGGCTTCTTCGAAGGGGTCCCCGAGCCACTTGCAGCCAATGTTCAAGTTCACAATCATCCTTAGAAATGTCATCAGAACCAAGAGGGTGAGCCCTGGAGGCCAAACCTGAGAAAGCAAAACGCAGCTGCACAGGGAGGGGGTGGGCCAAGGTGGAGGGAGAGGGGGTGAGCAAAGGTGGGGGGAGAGGAGGGGAGCAAAGGTGGGGGGAGAGGGGGGTGGGCCAAGGTGGGGGGAGAGGGGGGAAGCAAAGGTGGGGGGAGAGGGGGGTGGGCCAAGGTGGAGGGAGAGGGGGTGAGCAAAGGTGGGGGGAGAGGAGGGGAGCAAAGGTGGGGGGAGAGGGGGGTGGGCCAAGGTGGGGGGAGAGGGGGGTGGGCCAAGGTGGGGGGAGAGGGGGGTGGGCCAAGGTGGGGGGAGAGGGGGAAGCAAAGGTGGGGGAGAGGGGGGTGGGCCAAGGTGGGGGGAGAGGGGGTGAGCAAAGGTGGGGGGAGAGGAGGGGAGCAAAGGTGGGGGGAGAGGGGGTGGGCCAAGGTGGGGGGAGAGGGGGTGGGCCAAGGTGGGGGGAGAGGGGGTGGGCCAAGGTGGGGGGAGAGGGGGTGAGCAAAGGTGGGGGGAGAGGGGGTGAGCAAAGGTGGGGGGAAAGGGGGGTGGGCCAAGGTGGGGGGAGAGGGGGGGAGCAGAGGTGGGAGGAGAGGGGGCTGAGCAAATGTGGGGGGAGAGGGGGTGGTCCAAGGTGGGGGGAGAGGGGGTGGGCCAAGGTGGGGGAGAGGGGGGTGGGCAAAGGGGGGGGGAGAGGGGGGCACCTGCAACAATATCAACATTAAAATGTTTAATAAGAACGAATGGGTGAATTGGGAAAGATGGAAGAGTATGCGTCTCCCCTATGAAAATATCGCCCAAAAGTCACCATGGATTGTAAGCTGATGCGACGAATGTGATGTCAGAACAGCATTGGTTGTTAAAGGGACGCGGTTGGCTGGGAGTCGGGAGTAATGCACCCACAGATTGAACCAGGGCCCGAGGGTCGAGGCAAGCTGCCGCCCTGAGGGTCACTCTCGTTCTCTCCGCATCCTCGGGCCTCGTCCCGGCCTGGTCCTTCGTACGAGCTCAGGGTCGGGACCAGGGTCAGTGACAGACCCGAGTCCGTGAGCAGAAGACAACCACGGCTGCAGGCTGGCCCTGGGAAACCTCGACACCCGCCTGCTCCATGGAGACCACGGTGCAGCCCAGAGAGGCTGAGCCCCTCGTGCAACTCAGGGAGGCACAGACCGTCCCTCACGACGCGGGCCCCTCGGGTCACTGCCAGGCCCCGGACGGCCATTCGCAGGGGAGGGGAGGGCCGCCCGCGCTACAGGGTGGGAATCCGCTGCAGACCTGCTCCTGCCTGATCCTCGCTGTTCCCTGCGTCTCCCGCCCTCGCCAGCTCCTGCGCTCCGTCTCACTGCGTCCTCGAAGAGGTCACCCCAGCCGGGCCAGTGCTCAGGGGGTTGGAGCGTCACCCTGACACCCCCAGGGTGTGGCTGCATCCCGGGCTGGGTACACAGGAAGCAACCAGGGAATACATGAGTGGTGAACAACAAATCAATCAATAATCAATCGATCATCAAGAACAACACACAGTTATCCGGAGTGCACTTCCTTTTGCCGATAAACATGTGAACACAGCCTGCTGGGCAGGCGCCGTGGCCACGGACGCAGATGGCAGAGGGAAACTGAGAAGGCACCGAGTGAACATCGCTGAGACGAGGGTGCTCCACGCACCAGGGCCCAGGGCCAACGGCGCTACGGCGGCAGATGGTCCAAACATTTGCCAAAAGAATTCTTCTTCTGGATCTTGCTCTTAACTCTTATGATCGTGATGTAGCTTGAGAACCAAGGAATGAATCACCAGAGAATTTTATTAACCGGAGCTCGACTGCTAACTGCTCTCCATCCAGGACAACCCTGTGGCTGCCGCCTGTTAAACTGAAGGAATTCGGGCAACAGGGACGTGACTAGACACGCGGTGGCCGAGTCAGGTGGGTCCGGATCTCTGATCTCCTGATTACGAGCCACGTGACTGTGGGCAAGTTACCTGCCTTCCGTGAGCCTCGGTTTCCCTGCCAGTAAGAGGGTGTCGCTATGACCTTCTAGGAACGCTGTGGGAATGAAGTGAAACCTGTGCCCTGCGTCTCGTCCGTAAGGCTCCCCCACAGACTCGTGTCCTTTCTCTCCGGACCCGAAGGCGCCGACGCTATCAGAGGGCGAGGAAGAAGCGACAGCCTGGCTCACCCAGCACGGCTTCCACGGCAACCCCAGCCCCTGGCGCAGGGGAAACCGAGGCACGGGCATCGTCGGCGTCTTCGGGTCCCAGAGAGAAAGGACACTCCTGGTTCATAGGTCAGCGCTCAACTACCGAGCCACGCCAGCCAGGCTAATGTGGTTCTAAGTAAAAAATAAAAATTTACATCATCGGTATTCTGAATAAATGCTAATAAAATTAATACTAATAAATTAATAAAAGTGGTGCATTTTTTCTTCCCCGTTACACTGTGTGACGCCAGTTTTCAGTGCAGAGCATTGAGCTCACAGGAGGCCGCGTTCAGATCGCAGGACGAGTGTTCCCTAGTCTGCACAGCAGATGCTCCTGTTCTCACCAGAGCAGGGAAAGGGCCTGGAGACGGACGGGGAGGCAGTTGTCATTGTGGTAGAATACAAGCAACAGAACCGACAGTGAACCCACTTTCTAAGGGGCAGTGCCTTCACCCAAGAGGCCACTCTGCTGGGCAATCACCACCACCTTCCCCTCCCAGAACCTTCGCCTCTTCCCAGCGGACACCGTCCCATGAGACCCCCCCCCCCCCAGCCCCTGGCTCCCAGCATCCCTGCCTCCCCAGGTGCCTCAGCACAGGGACCTCCCGCCCGTGTGCTGCTGTGACCGGCTTCTCTCACTCGGCGCCTCCTCCAGCTCCTCCAGGCTCAGCACGAGGCAGAACCTCCCTCACGCCCAAGGCTGTGACATTCCTTCCTACGGCCGGACTC